GCAGATTCAATCAAAATTCCCTGTGTCTGTGCTATGGAAGCCTGAGAGAGTTTTATTGAATTTAGATTCAATATTGAACATATCCAACATGCTTATCAGTGTATTTTTAATGACATTAAGTGTGAATCATAACCTCCAGTGCATGATGCTTGTCCTTGTGCCCAGGAGAATGGAATGGTACCAGCTGGAAGAGAACACAGAAGCAGCAGTGGTGCAGCATACGGCAGCAGCTCTGTGAACTAAGGAGTGCTTTAATTCTGGGACATGAAATCCACCTCCTCTTTCAAGTCTCGTGTCACATGTACTTTCAAGTCACATGTACAATAGGAGAGGGGGTGTCTTTTGTGAGGGTCTGCTGTCCCAAAGATGCTGCTGGTGACAGTGTTCAAGGAACAATTTCAAAGCTCAGCTGGAGCTGTTTGCTAGGCGGTGCCTTTTGCCAGCAGCAGCAGGACACAGCCCTGGCAGGATGTGCTGCCAGTCTAATGGGGCTCAGGACACTCCTGAAACATGAAGTAAAACAACCCAGCCCCAGCTTTTGTCTTTACTCCCTGGAGATCCATTTCAACTAATAGTAATCTCAGTAACACAGGAAGAAGATTTGTTGCAGCTTTTATTTCTTTGCCTTTTTAGGGTTATAGTTCTTAGAACTAGGCCTTGTGGGTTTTGAAGTAGAAATTTTGAATAATTTATTGCAAACAAGGGTTTCATTGTTTTTAGGGAGAATCACTAACTCAAGATATAAATATGTAAGTTCAAGTGCTGAAAGTTAATAGAAACAAGTAAAATAAATTCTTGGCTGAACTTTTGGCTGTCAGGACAGAAAAAAATATTTGCAAAGAAAAATGAAATCTTATTTCATCACTGTTAGTTTGAAGCAGATTTTTTCCTATTTTGGAGTTCACCAATATACTGTAGTCATGTGCAGTGAGTAAATGATTATTGGATATAGTTTCCTCAGTAATCTGGTAGGAAGAGAATCTAAATAAGCATACATAAGTATATTTTCAAATTCACAAACACATGGGCTCTTTGTAGTTGAAATTGTCATAAGGTACTTCTGAAAAGAGGCCTTAGTCAGAGACTGTTTTTTTTAAGGGCCAGAAGTAAGAACAGTGGTCAGGAAATCTGCCATTCCCTGTAGACACTTACTCAGTGAAATATCCCTTGTGCATTTTCCAAACACACGGAAGAATATGTTTTCATTCATCCCACAGCTGATGCAAATCCCTTTGCTCTCCCTTCCAGTGTATCCATCACTGCTGTCTTCTCCCTCTTTTCAGAAATCTTAATTCTGCCTAAAGCCCAAACACTGTTACTTCTCATTACCCAGCTTTCTGAATGACAGTCACTGACATCTGAAAAAGAGTTTGAGTCTCAGCATCATAGATATTACCAACATGGAGCATCACAAGCCATACCTCCAAAAGCCTTGCTTTTTGGCTTTCTTTCATTTGCACATATTGTATCCCTCCTTTAATTCTGAGTATATTGAGGTGATGATTTCCCAACCTCTTCTCAATGCCCAAATTAGTAGGAGTGTGTTTTGATTTTCTTTTTCTTATAAATACTGATTTTCCATAAAAGCATGAACTTGGCAGGGAGTTTGTGTTCTTAATAAAAGAAAAATCAACTATCAAAATATTTGAAGTACAATTGCAACACTGGAGATGTATGATAATCTTGCTATTGTATCTTAATATTAAACATGAATAACAGCCTTTTCAGCCTCTTGAATTCTAAAAAATCTTAGCAATTGGATGTTTTTATGAAAAGATTAGTACCCAGTGTCATTATTCATCCAGCTGTTTTTTCATACTTGCTTCTATACCTGTTTCCTTTTATTCGTCTAACACCTGCATCTCTTAAAAAAAATACAGAAAATTATTTAAATTAATCTGGCATTTGCTTACTTATTTTTTTTACTTTTAAAACTAGAAATATCATGTCTGCAGGACTACAGCTGGGACAGTTGGATTGCTGGAGAGCTTCAGTGGGAAGCACCTGCCAGACCCTGCCCTTCCAGAACTACTGGAAAAGCCCAGGATGAAGCAACCTTCATTGGTGTGTGGTGTTCCTGTGTTCAGAAAGTGTTCAGAAAATGTAGCACACTGAAAGCAAATGAACAGAGCCATTAGCAGGAAATGAGGAGCAGACATAGAGACAAAGGCAGAAGGTTTATTTTGTGTATAAAGGTAGGAAATTTATGTACAGGTGCACAATGCAGTTGAGGATACAGAGGTACAAAGAGGAAGAGAGCAGCATTTCTGAGGCCAGGGGATGTTTCATGATGACAAGGCATTAGAGGAAGGAAAGAATTCAATTACAGGGGTGTGTTTTCAGTAAGAGTGAACTGATGCCCTGCTAATAGTAGATTAATAACTTGCATATTGCTGTAAATTCATTTAAAACCTGTGTTTAATATTGCATAAAAACTCATAGCAAGTGTCTTTTATTCAATATAAAGAGTATTATAATCTCTGTACAAATGGATTCTTATTGTTTTCACATTTTTGATTTAGGTCTAATGTCAGACATACTGTTACTACATTTATTGCTTTCTACCTTTCTTCAACATTAAGCCTGTGATGACATTTTTGCTTAATGTAGTATGTCCTGTAGTGCATATTCTATAAAGTACATAATGGTTCAATTTAGTTATGTGGAAACTGAACTAAAACCAAGGAGGAAATAAAACCAAACCAAACTTCATTATTTTCTTAATTAGAGTTATTTAAGAGAAAAAAAAAAGGTTGAACAGCTTTAGTTAGGAGCAGCACTTCTTTTTTTCATTTGAATTTTTAAAATTTCTTCTTTGTTTTTAGTTGGCATTCTGAATAGGATAGCTTTCATTTCAAGCTATTTGTGATTAATTTTTAGTTTTTCATTTCAATAATACTGAACTGAGTAGTATTTTTAGCTACAATTAAATGAAAGCTGTAGTTTGGAATGAAACTCCCAACATAAGATGTTATTAGTTTAAATTTCCCCACATGAAAGCAATTTTTGAAAACTGTATTTTCATTGGAATTAAAAAATCCAAAATGCAGTCTGGTTTTGGTTTTTTCTCTTTGCCTGTGTTCTGTAAATCCTGGTACTACATGATTGCCAGTAAGATAACTAAACCTATATCTGATAGTATATATAGCTTTGTTTCTGACACGGATACATTAACTTCATCTCCAGTGCATTCCTATCTAGTGTTTATTGATTGCTTATGAAGAAGAAAGGATTTTTTTGTTTGCTAAATTTATATATATATAAAATTATTTATACTTATTTTTAATAAGAGTTTAACAGAAAAAAGTTCCCTAATCACTTTTCAGGTATAAAAAAGCCAGCAAAGAAATTATCCTTGTGTACAATTCTCATAGGTAAATACACTGTGCTTAATTTTCATGCTAAGTCTGATGCTAAGAACAGGAATATATGAAAGGGATGAATCGTAATTTTTTTCCCCAAATGTGCAAAAGTTTCTTTAGATTTTTTCCTCTCCCATAAAACAGGAGTTTTTAACAGCAGGAATGTTGCTGCATTTGTGCCCCACAGACTTGGGGGCATTTATGAAAGGTGGAAAATAAATCTTAATAGTCCTGATCCACTGTCTGATCCATATCCTGCTGTGGCAGAACAGAAACCTTAGCATTTCACTTAGACACATTTCAGGGTGTCCTAATGTCACTGGAGATTTAAAGGGGGAATTTGCTTTCCCTGAATGCACCAGGTCCAACCTGCAGCGAGTTAGGGAGGACTGATGAAGGAACAGGGTCAGGTTTGAAGTGGGGGAAACAGATATCAATGATTTGAAGGACTTCTCCAAAAGATAAGTTGTTCCCTCTGGAGTCACAAAACCTCACAGTCTGGTGTCAGTCTCCCCTATAACTCTGCTACCTGCCATATAGCTGAATAACAAAACACCACCCTATATACACTTATTGTTTCAAATCCTTTCTCAAGGATATTATGCAAATGACGAAAAGGGATAGAGAATCTTTGCAAATATAATAATGAATGTCCAAATAAATTATTTCACCATTCATAAATGGGGTTTTTGACTTAAAGAATGATTAAAAAAACCCCAAAACTCCTCACTTTTTACAAATTTTTAGTATTTAACAATGTATTTCAGTTGTGTCTGCACTCTCAAAGGCAACTACAAAGATATTTTACTACAATATTTTTCCTAAATCTCCTGGTGCTCAAAATTTTCAGGTCTCTTTTTGTCATTCTTTTAAGAATCCATGGACAGCTAACCCAATTACCTTGCTTGCTTCTTAAGAAGGAAAAATCCCATCTTTTTTTATCTGATGACACCGATCTACTAAAAAATAAAAGAGATTTACTTTAAGTTATAGAAATCTTTAAATAAACAACAAATCTGTGATTTTCAACTATGAGATACTTACTGGGCCTTTCTTTAAAGGGGAAATGTTGGTAAAGATTAAGATTTTTTTTATCTCAATATAGTACTTTGGAGGTGTAGAGGCTACTGGAGTAGAGGATCTGGATTAATGATATCAGTGCAGGATTGACACTAATTCAAATGTGTGTGAGAGCCTCCTCAGCATGTTTTCAATTGCTAATCCAAACCATTACCTAATTATCCAAAAATACCCTGCATGATTTCACAGGTGTGAGGCCTAACTGTCAAAGGAACATCAATAAACATAGTGTATGATGTAAAGAGAGTGACCACCTGTAAGATTTAATTTAAGATTAGAATTACTGAAGGCAGTGAGTCTTTGCCACTCTTTGCAGTAGGGTCTGAATGCCACCTAAAAAAAAAATTAAAACTCTGATATTTGTACTGCTTTGCTAAGCTGGTTAGTCAAGGCATCTTCTGCTGCAGTAAAACACAAAAGTTTTAAGACTGCTCAATAGTCTTCCTGATCACCCCACTCGACTGCTGGCTCATCATCCATTCGTAGAATGAGATAGGAAAGAAGCTGAAAGAGATTCTGCCACAAGAGCAAAGAGACAAAAAAGGAGAGGTCGCTTACATCAATCTCACAGCGGTCTCCAGCAAAGTTCACGTCACACAGGCAGTGGAACTTGTTGAGGAGGTTCTGGCAGAGGCCCCCGTTCAGACATGGGTCAGAGCTGCACTCATCAATGTCCTTCTCACACCTGGAGGAAAGACTGCAAACAGTCAGCCTCTGAAACCAAGCATCAAATGCATCAAATAGGCACATTTTTAATTCAGAAACTTTGTGGGGTCAGGGAGAGGAAGACAGTTAATTGTGCCTAGCAAAATGTAATGCAAGATTTCAGAGCCAGCTCTGGTGCAAGTCCAGCTGACAGCTTGCTTGTCCTTTTCATTGTTCCAGCAAGCTAAGGACACAGTTTCCTTCTCAGTAATCTGGATATAAGTCAGACAAATGTGTGTTTTTCCCAGCTCCTTTCTTTGGGGGGGTGGTTAACCTTTTTATTTCTTCCCTCTATTTGGAATGCCAATAGATCCCAGCACAATTTCCTATCCAGTCTCTCTAAAATGGGCCCCAAAAAAGGTAAAAATGGTGCAGGAGAGACTTAAGAAGTCTTCTAACTTAAGAGTTCATAAGACTTGATATATATCATTAAATGTTTTTGAGCTAATTCTGGTGATACAGGAAATTTGAGTTATAATTTCTCAAGGCAGCCAATGGAAGGATGATGAGGGATGTGTAAGATTTTCTGAAAACTACTGATTTGGTGATTTTCTGCTCTGACAATGTTCCCTTTTAATTCCTTGCTCCCTTTTTTAAATTAATGCTAACAGTTAATCCTATTTTTCCAGGTAAAAATGCAGGTTTATACTTGGACAAGAATGTGAGAAATTCTCTCTCAGTTACAAGGAATTGCTTTTTTCAATCATATTCATAACCAAGCAATAAGATTTTAATCTTATATATGAGAAGAGCATTTTTTATATTAAACACTTTTACTCTATTAACCTAAACTTCTTTCAATAGCGTCCTTAATTTATATTCATATATTTCAAAGAGCTAAGTTATTTTCCAATGTATAAATTATCCAATGTATAAGAGTTATATAGCTATGAAATTACCTATGCAAATTTAAATAAAAGCCAACAGCCTCTCAAATCTTCCAGGGAATCAGGTATCTGAATCCGAGTTTCAGGAACACTTAAAAACCTGATTGACAAATTTGTTTTTGAGAGAGAGCTCTATCTTCTTTTATGGAGATTATTCTTTACACATTTCCCTTTCCACTTGCTATTGAGATCATGGGGCTTTTTTTTTTATGTGATCCCAAGTGAATTGATTGGCATAGAATTTCTCTATACTGTGCTTTCTGAGGGCTGAATTATTGTCTTAAAGAAAGATGCCTGCTTCATTAGTCTAATACATAAATATACAAAAGGGTTTGATTTTAATTTTCTTATAAACAGATATATTTGAATTTGTTCTGAAAAAAGAAAAAAAGAAAAATAAAAGAAAGAATGAAATGTTCTCATTTGATCTAGTGAGACCTCCGAGCTTGGAAGTACTGCTGGTTTATAGTTTGGCAGCCTGGAACAGAGGCCAAATGGTCCATTTTAGAGCCTGGAAAGGAGTGCCTGGCTGCCACAGCCTGTCACGGTGCAGCTCCCTGGGCACAGGGCTGCTGCTCAATGTGAGAACCTTGGGAACTGTAAAAGAGAGACTGCCAGCCAGTGGGATGGATGGAAGGAAGGAAGACTCATTCCCAAAGCTGCAGTTAGCAAGTAGGCTGGCAGGGGAAGGAAGAAGGAAAATGTGCTTTCCTGCTACCCCAAAGTCCCAAGAAATACGCAGTGCAGAAGTGGCTATGAATACGCTTTAACTTCTTAAAATTTTATTGTATCCTTTCCCCCTTGTTGAATATTGTGAGGTGGTACACAGGCAATCTGGCTGTTAACAGTGGAATTCAAGTGTGTCTGCCAACTACACGGTGCATTGAGTGGGTGGAAATCTTCATTTCATGTCTTTTATAGCCTACTGTACTCCTTCCACAAAATCAGTGGCCTCCTAAGTTTTTTGAGAGAATGAAAACCTTTTGCTGGAAACTTCTCTGTTACAGCTTAGTCCTGTTGAACTTTTGGATATTATACTCTGACATAATGCTAGTTTCACTAGGAGTATGTACAGTTTTTCTTGTCCCTCTATCCAAAATGCCCTTACCTGTTCAGGCTATGACTGAGACAATGCCTTCCTAGGTTTCTGCAGCACCTGATGCCCTGAGGCTCTCAGCCCTCCCTGCTCCAGAGCTCTTTAAAGGCCAGCATTAAGTGTGAATTGTGCTACAAGATACAGATATCACTGTGAAAAAGGTCCCTCTGTTCCAGGCTAAACAATAACATGTGCTAAGTATTCTTTAATCTCTTCTAAAAGTAATCATTCTGTTTTCACTTCAGCATTCAGTAAGAAAGCTGGTATACCAAGCCACCAGGTATGCCACCTCTTACCATTCCTGTGATAGAATAGATTGTATATTCACAGTACAGACATGTGAAAATTAAACAGCTTTGCATATTCATGTGCCAGAGCATATAGCTGGTTTATGTATGTGAGCAGGATACGCGTGTTTGTGTCGCCACCTATGGAAAGGCAGCATTGTAACTTGTCATATGAAAATTCTGCACAGAAGCCAAAAAAAGGCACAGAGAAGCACGTGTACAGCGCTGTTTAAGAAATAATATCTTGGGCTGGATTACTGGTGCTGCATTGGACTAAACTGCATTGCTGCATTAATTTCTGACTTTTTTCTAAAACCACAATACTTGAGACCCTCAGGGTCACTTAGCAAGGAACTGCTGCACTTAAACAGCTGCTTTGTCTGTATTTCTGCCAGAGAGCTGGCTGTTACCCTCTGGACTCTTTTGGAATAGCTTTTGGAAGAGGTGCTCCCAAAGATGTGCAGGACAAAGCCTCTCACCGTTCTCCCACAAACCCCGGCAGGCACATGCAGGTCAGCTCACTGCCGAGGTCAGTGCAGTTGCCGTAGTTGAAACACGTGAGGTTCCTCTCTTCATTCCCACAAACTGTGTAAGGTAATCTTCGATATCTGGGCAAACAAGAAGGCAGCAGCAGTTATTGGCACTGTCCTTGTTTCTGGATGTCATGTGCTCTCGCAGCTGAAGCAGGGGAGCAGGGTATTGCTCAAAGGAATGACCGCTGAAATTCAGATTTAAGACTCCCAGAACATGTTTTGCCTAACTTTTTTTAATTTTCTAAATATAATTTTTCTTTTCCAAATATTTACTGGAAAATTAATGATTCATTTTTCATTAGGAAAAAAAAAATAAAATGGACATCACTATACCTTTATTATTAATGTGGTTCTGTGTGATATGTGGACAGCTTAGTATAAGAGTTCAAAAGAGACAGACTTAACAAACAAGATAAAAAATATTGGGCAACAATAAGGCATCTTCAAGTCTGAGGAAGTCCTCACTACTCAGAAAAAGTCAACAAAACATGTCAATTTTAGTAATTATATCCTAAAAGACTGGAGTTGGGTAGCATGAAGATTATTGTCTGTCTGCATCCTTTGGGCTGCAACATACTGGTTTTGTTGGAGTCCTCTGAAGGAAGGAGAAGGATTTTGCCTTCTTGGAGAGGAATTGCACATGCTTAGAGGCAAGAATTTTATGGGTGTGCAGAAAAGGACAATTAAAGGGAAAAGCCTGCTGCCTTTCTAGAGGAGAGTCTGTGAAGAATAGGAAACAGCATGTGAGCAGTGTCAGAAGCAATGGCAAAAGTGGGCTGTGTGATGTTTGCAGCCACGAGGACTGAGAATAAGCTGGGAGGAAAAGACCAACCCAAAAAAAATGCTGTGGATGGGAAGAAAAACAACTTCTTTTCCTATTGTTATTTTCTCCTACCAACTCTGAATTCCCGTATTTATAACTCTAGAACTATATTACTCTAATAAAATATTGTTTTAGAGATTTAAAAACGCTAAGTTGTTTTTTTTTCTGAGAAGAAGATGTAGCGCATGTATTTTCAGGCTCTGGAAGACTTATAATCTTGTCATCAGAGAGCTCACAGGACCAATGTTGGCAGCAGAGCAGAGCAGCAGAGCTTGTTCAATCCTTGCCTCATCAGTCTCTACCTGAGCTGGCAGCTCTCCACTGTCTCAGTCCACATCTAATTGATCTGTACAACTTTCTGTACTCTTCACACATCCACTCTGCAGCCATGATTAATATAGAGACAGATGCAAAACATCTGTGTTTAAAACATCAGTGGTATATATAAAAAGCCCTTCAGAAGAGACTTGACAAAATCATGCAAATCAGCCTTGTTTACAGTACCTGCAAAACCTCCCCGTGAAGTTAGCAGCACACAGGCAGGAGTATCCATTAATCCCATCCACACAAGTGGCCCCATTCATGCACTGGTGGCCACGGCAGTCATCTACATCCTCCTCACAGTTCTCCCCGGTGTAACCAGGCTCACAGCTGCACTCATAGGAGGCAATCCCATCTGTGCAGTTCCCATAGATGCAGGGGTTTGAAGAGCACTCATCGATGTTGACTTCACAGTAGGTGCCAGTCCATCCATTGGGACATACACAGTGGTAGGAAGTGTACAAGTCTTCACATATGCCCCCATGCATACAGGGGTCAGAGCTGCAGAAATCTACCTGCAAACAGCCAGTAAGAGCAGGGTTTGCAGATATTTTGAGAAATTGTTCCTCTTGAGGTTTTTTAGTAGGTATGTCAGCATTTTCGAAGTATGAGAGATAAATGCCACTGATTTCTATGGTGCTCATGCACCCTCGCAGGCCATCCAGGCTGTCGAAAGCTTTGTCAGCCACATAGATGTCTGTCTCTTCTCTTAAAAAGTTGAGGCTTCCTGCAGCAGCTGTGCTGGTTGCCATGTCTTTCTTGTCTATATCCAAGTGCCATCTGGAGGACTGGGACAGGGGCTCCACCATAGAGACCATCACTTGGTGCCATTTGCCATCACTCACGGGCACTGAACTCACAAGGGTCAGCCTGTAGAAGCTGTTGCCACTTTGTAATTGAAACAGGAGTTTGGAGTTGTGTATACTGATGATGACAAACTCAGGCTCCCTCTCTGCATACAGCAGGATCACGTCAGTGTCCCTGGTTCGAAAGCCAAAGACGATATTAGTGAGGTCTCTGCTGATTTTCCCATTGCTTCTGTAAAATATCGCACTGCTCCGGCCACTGAACACTGCGTTTGCAAGACCTGTGCAAAGACAGCAATTGAGAAACTGAACCAGTTTTACATCAATATACATGGAACAATGTCTCCCCCAGTGCACATGCCATATAACTGCTTTTGGTTTGCTGAAAGACAGTCAAATTCCACCAGTGTTTCAGTTATCCTGGTCTGCCCCTCATGGCTGTGGAAATTACAGGGCAGTGCCAGCATCAGCTATAATGACATCCAAAGTGTACTCTTTGCATCATCTCAGGCCAGCACTCTAATATACAATTCTACATTACTGTTATCTATTTCTATAAAAGACATACATTTGTTATTTTATGATCGTTTCCTAAATACAGGCAGCTAGCTATTCCCTGTGACAGATCTGGATGAGGTGAACATTTCTTCCCAATTCCTGTTTTCTTAGGTGTGTCTTAAGGTGTTTTATGAAGTATATGATTGGATCCCAATTTCATCTCACTGATACAAGAGGATGAATTTAATGGAAGTCAGTTGATGGAAAGCCCCTTGGAAATCCCTGTAAGCAGTTGTGCCTGTCATGTTCAAAGCCAGCTTCTCTTGGTGGGCAGGCACTGCCACAGCCCTGTGCTGGTGTGACTTGGGGGGCAGCAGTACTCAGCTCACACTGCTGTGAGTGAAAATTGATGGGCAATGTTGTGTCAGCTTTATGGACAGCTTTACAAAGGTATTTGACACCTTTTGTTAGCATGGTTTCTACTAAAATACATTTACTCACTGGGCTGTAAATTTAAATGTTCTGAGGCTTCTGAGGATTACAGACAGGGAGGAGGGACAGGAAGGAATGTCTTCTGTCTGTGCTTCAGAAAAAAATAGCTTTGAAAGATCTGACATAAAGTGGGTTTCTGAACTATCCCTGGGCTTAGTAAATCTTGAGGAAAAGAACCCTGGGAGTCCCAGTATGAATTTCTTGACTTCATATCCTGATGCCAAGGCAGCAGAGGTGTAACTGCATTTCCTGGTGCATCAAATGTGCTGTCTTTCTCATAGAAAAAGTTTCCTCAGAGGAAATCATACTAAATTAAGTAATGAATCATACTAATACTAAAAGGAAAGTCAGAATTTTCCAAGATTATTCCTGTTCTTTTCAAACATCTCACAAACCTGAATTTTTTTCGCAGAAGACACAAGGCAAAGAACTCACTGCCCAGGATATCTTCTATTTTGTTATCCTGTGTTGAACAAGAGGAAGTTTATCCTGTATCTAAGAATACAACTAGTTACAGATGCAATTCTATAGTGCAGGAATTTTTGAATATCTATTAGGGAAACTCCCTACTGTTGCCACATAAACCAGCACAGAAATGTAAAGGGGATGACCTTGAGTCATTGAAAGTGACCTTGAGTTTAGCAGAGAAAGACAGATCAGGTTCTTTTCACTTCACTGTCTCTGGGTGTTTCTGTTCTACCTTAATAAGCAAAGTAAATTTTATGAGAGAATGTATTTTGATGTTATCATTAAAGACATCTGTGAGAGAAGGAGCAATTATTTTAATTTCAGTTACAATTTTAAGCTGTCCTGCAATGCTGACCCTAACAATCTGCATAAAAATAGTATCATATTGGTCTGTCTATAATAAAGATCTTCTGTTGAACAGCCTTCCAATTCCTAAGAGTCAGCCATTCTGACAGCTTCCATCAGACTGAGTGGGTATTTACCTTCTCTCACAGCTTTTTGTTAGGGCTTTCTTTGGTAATAAAACGAAAAAATATTTCTTACAAATCCTTACTTGCTCATTTCAATTCCACTCCAGGGCTGGAAGGAGAAGGGAAGTGGAGAAGGAAAGAGATGTGCAGGGTGGCTAATGATTCTAAGACAACTAATGGTCATCAGTGTTCCAATGGACTGCTTGGCATGCAGGTGCTTCTTATGAAGGTGCTGCTTGAACAACTGTACTGTAGGTATTGAGGTGACTTTCTCCAAAGATATTCAAGACTTAAGAAAATCAAGTAAAATGTAAAAAATCAAGTAAAATCAATGTAAGTTATGTAGCTTGTCTTTTCAGGAGGATGGAGAACATTCTAAGGTTAATCCAACACTGAATTAACTCTTATCTCTTTGCAGTGGCAGTGTGGGGGCAATGTACTGATCTATTGAACAACCTTGACTAGCTGGTCCAAGTAAGTCAAAATCAAAGTTTCTGTAAACATCAGTGTATGAGTCAGGGGGTCTGGGGGAGAACACCTGGATTTGGTAGGACAGACTCTTCCCATTAACTTTACTTAAAACTGACATAACTATTACTTTAATACAGAAATAACATTCGAATGAACTTTTAGGGCAACAAATACTTCATTTCAAGCAAATGCTGCTGAAAATATCTATTGCTGCTGATCTCCAAAGATGATTGGAACAGCTGAAATGTACCTACATTCAAATCCTTGGTGCACCAGCTGGCATTGTGCTTCATGAGGACAGGGCCCAAGCTCACACCACTTAACTTCCTCACATGCCTTCCCCTCTGTGTTAGGGGGGCACGTGCAAGTGAAGTCATCCCAGATTGAATAGCACACACCACCGTTGTGACAAGGGTTGGACTATGGGGAGAGAGAAGAGAGAACCTCAGTATGAATCAACTGTTGGGCACTCAACTCTAGGCATGGGGGACTCCCCTATGCAAATACATTTTGCTTCTGATATTGATTATATATAGCATAGCTTAACAAAACCTGCTCTTTCTAGCATTTTTTTCATGTTAATATAATGTCATTATAATCAAATAATGAGTGAGAACATACTAAAAACATAAACTAAATTCCCCATTATAAGCATGTGAAAATGCTCTGAAAAATGCCATTCTTACCTTGCAGAGGTTGTCACCAGTGCAGCCTTGGGTGACATTGATCAGAGTTCGGTTGGTAGAATTCAGTGGATTGGTGATGGGGAAGAATTCCAGCGGCTGGTTATTCACTCTTACATCTTGGATACAGCCTTTGAAATACCTGCCATTTCTGTCAGTTTCTGTGTTATCTGGTAGGCCTCCAATGTAAAGAATATCCTTACTTTGGATGGTTAGTGCTGGAGTAGAAATAAAGCCTAGGTAGTGAGAGGACTGGAACAACTCCATCTTATTTGGTTCTATTTTTAATGTTATTAAGTAAAAGTTTCCATCATTCACAGAGTGTTTCCCTAATAACTTCATGGAATTTAGAGCTAGCAGGGTGAGTTTTCCACCTTCCAAATAGACTCTTATGTAGAGGTAAGTACTGTTTCTCAGAGCCAGTAACAAGCCAGAAGATTTGCGTGTTCGGACAAACATTGATATGATGAAGTTCTCATTCTGAATGGAATCAACAGGAAAAGCAGCATAGCCTGAGGAGTCCTCGAATCCAAACCGGCCTGGAATGTACTCTTGAGGTTAGAGATATGGGAAATGAAGAAAAGAAAAAAAAAAAAAAGAGAGAGAGAGAGAGAGAGAAGGGATAAAAATAAGATAGGGCTAAATGACACGGGATCCAATGCAATGATTAAATAACTACTTCTGGTGATGTTTCTGTATGGTAGTAAGATGTGCTTTTTTTATGGATGAATAAAGACTTGATCCAACTGTAAATAGCTTCTGTTTCAAAATTCCTGTTGGCTTTCATGGTTGTAGCATTATGACCCAGTGCAGGACCAGATGTTATATAATTGGGCACATTTTTCCTCTTTATACCCTCTTTTATCCTCTATGTAATGCTGTGTTTTCAAGTAGTTAAACAAGGACAGATTTCTACATTTTCCTGCACAGAAAGATCATTTTGGAAAGAATCTACCTGCTTTGATCCTCTGATGACCATGGAAGCTAATGGAGTTCTGGTATTTTGTGGTATTTTTTGCACAGATTCCAATCACAGAAAGCTGCTGGGCAAAGCCCTCTTGTGTGAATAGGTGACGTGTGTGGTACTGCATGGACTCCCCAGTTCTCTGACAGACTTTTCCTTGCTGGGGCTCAACATATGCTCACCTACATCAACTTGTATCCAGTCATGAACCCTACTCAGTCCCTGAATGCCCACAGTGCTCTGGGTGAAACATGATCCAGGATCAAGTAAAGTTTTTTTCCCTTGTGCTTATCAATTAAAATGATTAAACCAAAACCATCTGTCTGTCCTTTATCCATTATTTTTGGTAATGATTTTCAGTCTTTAAAGGATACAAAATATGCAGCCAAAACTTATTCTGATGAATCATCTCTTTAAAGAACAACAAAATGTTTCTATTTTTACACTATAAGTTTTGTGATCTTGTCCTCAATATTACAGACTTCCTGCCTAAACAGTTTCAGGAGCTATTTTTCATATATCAAATTCCTAGAAAGAATAAAGCAAGCTTTTTTTAAATGCTCACAATAGCTAAAGATTCAATCATCTGTTATGCAGTAAAACTCCTGGAGCTGGATGTCGTAGGCCAACTTCCTGCCTGCAGAACTACCTTTTTTTATGACTGCATTTAAAAAATTATGAAAATAGGGGACTGACCATGAAGCCCCCAGAGACCCTTAATAACCATACTGCACTGCTATGTGGTATGGTCATATTATTTAGCAACAGGAATAAATCCCATACTTGTTCCTAAACAGACAATTTGTTAATTTAATTTGAAATAGTTTATTTCTATGAATAAGATTTCCTATATGTCTACATCTACTTGTTAAGCAGACTTAATGCCTCAAAACACCAATTTCAACAATTGTTTCTGCATACAAGAGTTTTAAATTATATTTTCTCTTAAGGTGGTAATGGAGACTGAGACACTTTTTTCATGAGGGTAAAAAGAAAAATTCTGCTGAACTCAGGATTCCACAACTGCAGTATTAGAAAGAAGCCTTGATCTCCAGAAAGGCATTTCATGTTTACAATTGCCTTGTCACATTTCTCTCTACTTATAAATACACACATATATCATCAGCCTGATCTGTTTGATGAGATGACTAGCATCACCTTAGTCAATATTAACCTCTTGGATCACATCTGGATGTTGATCAAAATGAGGCAACATCTGTTTGTTATTTTGTATATGTAGAGAAAGTATTGCCTCTTGTCAATTAAATACTTGGCAGCAACTTTTCTTCAGAAAGACACCAGCATTTCTTACATTATCCCTTACCACAAGTCTCCTTCACTCTGCCTCTTTAGAAACATGGCACAGTCTTTTACATGTGACATATGTCTAGAACCTATGTACCAAAATGGCATGGTGCCACGGTTAGCAAGGAATATTGTAGTCAGCAGGAAAAAAAAAAGCATGCCTTCTAATCATTCTCACAGTTCTAATGCCAGTATAAGCTGCTCCTGGCCCTGAATGGTTTTCATTTTGCTTCATGTAAGGAGGCAAACATATTTCCCAGATGTTGTCCTATATTCAAAAGTTGTCTTCCAAATCTTTGGATAAATTACAGCTACACTTCAAAGAAGTCTGTTACAATTACTTCTCAGACTTTGTCATTTTGCAACCAAACCAAAAGGAAAAACTATTGAAAGGTATTGATAAGTATTAGGTAGAGCATACAAAATGAATTTGTATTCAAACATTTGAAATGTATTTGAAGGCACAGCTTTCTGCAGCAATACATTCAATAGTCCCTGAGGCCAGTTGTTCAGCTGATGTGAATCAATGTAGCTTCACTGGCAGCAGTACAACCACGCCAGTTTACACCAGTTTAGGATCTGTCAATTCCAATGTGACCTTGGCTCTGTTGTTCTGTTTAATTTTTTCCAGTCCACCTGACAAATATATCTACATAAATATATTTATGTATGTATGTATGTATGTATTTCTTGCTCCCTAAACATTGCTCTGCTGACCACGTGTGGATGAGGGAGGCAGAGGCAAGGGCATGGCATGAAGACTTAGTCCTGTGCAAATTTTCTTAAACAAAACTGCTTCTTTGAAATCCCTAAAACTTTGCCTGGGGAAGGATTGCAGAGCTCACCCTAAAGCATTCCTGAGGGCTGCTGTATTTACAGCTCTAGGGGGCTTCACCTAGCAGATGCAGCAGGGTGCTGGACAGGGACCTCCTGTTGCCCCACTTTGCCCCAGCCTGCACTGCAAAGATCACTTGTAGCAGGGAAAATGCTGCAGGCATCTGCAGCTTTTGTGTTCCTGCTCACCACTGCCATGGAAGCCGCTTGCTGGGATGAGCTCTTCTGCTTGCCCTGAAAGGGACACGTTTCCCTCTGGTCCCCATGCAGCTCTTTGGGAGCAGCAGCCTGCACTGGGGATTGTCCCACCCTACCTTGGGACCAGCTGAGGGATGAATGGACCCTATTTCCAGCTGCTGAAGCCCTGCCTGCTGCTTGGGCTAATCAGATTAAGCTAAGAGTATGATCTCATTCATTCTTTTTAAAATTGAAATCTATCTTTTTTTAACTTGCAGTACTTTTGCTTGAATCTCTTTAAAAAAGCCTAGAGTGCTCGAGGATAAAATTTTCAAAGAATGCTTTGAAAATAAGTCCTAAACTCCAAATGACTTGCTTGCTTTCTAAATTTTTACTCAGCATGGATAACCTACAGTTTTTCAAAGTTTATGGAGTGCTAAAAGCGCTGAGATTTTAAAACAAGAGGAGTGGAATCCACTAGTTTAGCACAACTTATTTTTGTCAGGCTGAAAAGAAGCCTTCCTGGGAAACTAACTAGAAAATAAGAAAGATGTACCACTACTAACCTCTTGTACTGGCTTACCACTTGACATTAAGCTCCAGAGATCCTAAGGGTCACATTGTTTCACAGCCAGGTAAACAGGATTGTTTATGGTCATGTTTTCAGCAGGCACATAAACCACAAGTGACAGCAGCATTCCCCTACCTGTTGCACAATCTGGCCCTGTGTAGGGCCGGTAGCAGTCACAGTGGTAGCTCAGCCACAGGTTGATGCAGCGTCCCCTGTTCTGGCACGGGTGGGGAACACACCAGTCCTTTTTAGCACATCCTGTCCTGACATTTAAAGATGACCCAGATGATACATTCTCTGGAGTAATAACATTCAAGTCTATCTCAATATCCTGAAGACAGCCTACAAATGAAGGTGCAGAATGTGTATTAAAGGTGTTCTGTAGAGAGTTGCTGTTCCCCACTGGTAAGCCGCCCAAAAACGTGGTCTGAAATGCAAACATCACCAGCTCGTTATCTATCTTAGCAGATGTTTTATTGAGACAGGATTCGACACAAGAGCTGTCAAGCAAATTAAGAATAACAGCTCTTGCCAAGGTTACCTCCACTGAATGCCATTCTCCATCACTGACATTATGTGGAATATGCAAAAGAGCCTGTGGCTGATTATTGACTTGCACGGATAACTGTAAGTAGCCATTCAGTACTTCCAACTTTGCAAAGGTGTTTTTCTCCCCTCGTTGAAACAGAAAAGCTGTGGGTTGCACAGTTTGAAACCTCAGGTTTATATTATAGAAAAAGTCCTTTTTATGGGTCTGGGGATTCTTCAACAAAAGGAAACTGTTTCCTTGAAAAGAAAATGTGGTTACAGTTTCACAGTGTATTCCAGTATACCCAGGTGAACATATGCAGCTGAATCCGTGTTGGCCGTTTTTTAAATGTGGGATACATATTCCATTGTTTTGGCATTGATGATCAGTACAGCCATGCAGAACTTCTGTACAGTTCCAGCCACCATAAAAAATCCCTTCTTTGTCTGCAGGTGGGCAATGGCAAGTGTAATTTCCAGGAAAATTCTCACAGATCCCACCATTTTGGCAAGGGTTTGTGTAACATTCGTTGACATCTTCATCACAGTGAGTACCTGAAGAATAAACAAACAATTAGGCATTCTGGTTTGAATAACTAGAGCCCAAAAGATCACTTTTAATAATGTATTTTATTAAATTATCTTTTATTAGAGGGGAATGCCTTAATAAATAGGTGATGGACAAGCAAAAAAAAATACTTTAAATATAGAAAGGCCACTCAATTGTTGTGGTTTCCTTGTGCAAAGTATTATGTAAACACCTAAGTGATAACCACATTTTGGAGAAAAGAGCCAAACAAATGGACAGTTTTGATATGGATAATGTGATGAAATTAAGACAAACATCATCAGATGGGATCAAGAAATTGTTTCTCACATATCCTGTGGTAGGAATTTAGAATGCTTTGTAAGGAACTGAATTGTTTATCACATACAAAAACCCCAAAAGTTGTTGCTTAATTCCTATCCATAATATAGTACGGGAACAAGCTGGAGTATGATCTGCTGGTCATTTTTTTTTTTTGTGTTCATTCAAAGAGTGTAAGAACTACAGACTATTATTCCTGGTCCCATATGAAACTTCATGGAGCAACACTCTTCAAGTGAGAGCCACAAGACTTGCAAGTGATATCTGACATGGTGGGTCAGACTGACAAGTGGGTGAACATGCCTGCAAAATGTATGTACTACAGGAGAACTTTTTTACCTCTCCTCAATAAAAAATATAAAGCAAGAAAAGATGAAAGGAATATTCTCTCAAACATTTCAGAGGTTGTTTGGTGATGAGAGCACTTCTACAGGAGATTATCCATATAGTTTCATATTTCCTCTTCTTTCATATAATGCTTGGCTTCTGATATGTCTGGTAAAAGGAGAACTCCTCATCTCAACTCCACTGTAATTGGATAGATGTGGTCTAAGTGGGTCTGCTGGATCACACTTCACAAAGAAAAACAAATCTGTTCCTCTTGTAAAACTAATCTGTTTATCCCTCTGCACTGTTGTTCATCTATAAAGTGGTAATTACAATAACTTCTCCCTTGAGCAATCAAGTGACTGATATGCATGCAGTGGGTCAGGGCAAATCTGTTTCTCATCTCCCTTGGAAGCAGTCAAAATATCCAAATACTTTTCTGATAACTCATGCTAAGTGCAACTGTTAACATTTCTACTTCCTTTCATAGTTGTCTTTAGAGAAAAATGAGAAACACTTCGCAGTTAGTATCAGATACTAGTCAAACTAGTATCACCAGCACAAATTAAATAGATTTCATCCATCCCCACAGCAAAACTGCTGCCTGTAAATCAGGTAATGAGATGTTCTGAGGCTCATGGAGTGGCATCTGGGTATACCAGGTACCACACCTAGCTTTATGTACAAATTCACATCAGTCTTTATGTCTTTTCTTCTTTTTATGTGTTTTAACAAAGCACAGCCATTCCTCTTGGAAAATTACAGAGCAGCATTCAGCCACAATGAATTGCTTCAAATAGAAGTAGCTAAGTGTAGTTATGCTGGCTAATTCCTTGCCTGCCCTCTTTATTCAATCACAGTTGTAACTGGACCCATCTGATAGAGTGGTGAGTACAGGAGAGCCAGGAGGGAAGATTAGCACAAACACAAATATAAGTCACACCAAAAGATAAATAATAAGTCACTTTTTTCATATCAAGAATAAATAAATCAGCTGTTCTTGCAAGTGGTGTTGATACTGCTTGTAATCTGCTGATTGCCAGGCAAGCAAAGACCACTGTCAGTCAAGATAAAAGCACTCTAGATAAAAGGATTAGTCAATATTTATAGAACTGTATAAGCAGTTCAAATAGCTCAGGTTGGAGATGTTAGCATGTAAAAAGAATATTCTTAAAAGATGTAAGACATACCTAAACAAGTGCAAAGGCAACTATTTTTTTCCATTAGTTACATGCATTATCTCAGCTAAGCATACTTGTGTTTTTAAGGGAAAAAGGAAAGTAGAATTTCACAACATTTTCTCTTCTAAATGTATTATACACTGACACAAAATTTCATGTGAATGTGAATACTTTTAAAGATGATTACTTTTCCCACCTGTGAAGCTTTTTTTCAAAACAGAGATTAAACAGTTCCTTTGAGTTAGTTTGATAGCACCACTCATCTGTCTCCTTTTTTTACTTACACCTTATTACTATATGGTGGCTATTTGCTGTTAACCCTGAATTAACCTCTCTTTCAAATTTAGCAGCAAAGGTTTCCTGCAGAAGCAGGATGACAAAAGCAATTATTCGATCATAATTCTACTGAACGCCACTGATTTTCATTTTGACTAAACAATTATAAAAGTATTATCTAAATGACACTTTTGATACACAGGTTAGAAATGTGCTTACAGCTTTTTACCTTTCCAGTCCCCCGACACTAAATAAATATCAAGAAATTAGAAACAAGCAATCTGGATAGGTGCTACACATTCAATACAGTCTAAGTGCACATTCAAATTCACAAAAAGAAAATATTTACCTGTAAACATTGTCATTAAAATGATGTAAACTTGTATCCTAATTGCAACCATCTTTTTCCGCAGGAAAATTTCCAAAGAAAAAAATTGTTTAGCACTTAAGCAGTCGACAGAGTAAATTCCTGTGAAATTCACAACAGTTCTTAGTATAAAGGTTTCCTTTCCAGGATTAGCTTGCTCCACTTCTGTACCTGCTGATGTAGTCTGATGGTGTATTTTGCCCAAGCCAGATCAACAAGGCTTAAAGTAAGACCCATTAAACTGCTTACACAATAGATACGTATCCTATTTAAATTCTTTTTTCTCCAAATTCATGCTCACACTGAACATTGTTTGTGTTTCACAGAAATACATATTATTAGGATCCATTCAAAACTGATTGGTCACTTTTTTTTTTGCTTGTTTTGCAAAGTGTTGTTTTTTAAGACTTTTTTCCTTTCAAGAGGTTTGTTAATCCAGATCAACTCTGTCATGGTCACTGTCATTCATAGAAACTGTACATCTCAAAGGACAGATAGAAAGGATCTAAAATTTGATGCTATTTCTTTATTTATAAAGTATTTTTGTTCCATTTGCTCTCTCTACTTAATGGAAGTCTGTGTCTTTAGATTTTTGAGTGTGATAAAGACACATAAAAAATTATTTACTAAAACATTTTTTTCCCTCAGCTCTTGAGCAAAACATTTTGATTTAGACCAAATTTAATGAAGGGAAAATAGAGTTTAGGAGATTTAACTACTTATTTCTGTTATAATTTTAGCAGCAGACATTATTTTTGGCACTTACATTAATCAATTTTTTCTTCTACCTCAACTCATTTTTTCACTAATTAGGAAATTCCTGACCTTTTGTCACATTTCAGTTTAGGTTCACCAAAAGACTCATACACAGAACACAATTTTGAATTAACTTAATCTACAGTTCACAATTGCTTTTGTGGAGATGCTCAGTAAGCTGCTGCTTCTTCCAGTCTCTGACACAGGCATCAAGTGAGTTTTCCTACAATACATTTAAATACTAAAGGGTAAAAATTTCACCCAGACTCTTGGAAAGGTGCGTAAGGCAGCTTTAAACAAAATAAAGTTCCTTTTGATAAGTTAGTGTGAATGCACTTAATTAGTAGTGCTTATCAGACATCTCGTGCTGCAGTTTGATGTTGAATGTGCACTTTATTTTGAATACTGCAAGAAGCTGGAGGTTCTCAGTAGCTGTTATTCCTTTTGCAGTGTGACTGTGACAATAGGACTCTGAGGGAAGGTTATGGGCTGACACAGAGTCAACAGCTGGGGACAGACCTCTGCTCTTACAGGTCAGTGACAACATGGGGCTGCACACTGAGACAGGGGAACTTCCGAGCAGTGTACTCAACAAACAGCCCAAAACTATGCCAGAACCACTGGTGGGAGTTTGAACAAACTTGCCAGGTGCAGACACTAATTATAGTCAGATATTGCATTTAATAACATTTTCATATACAAACCAAGGAGAATACTCCATGTGAAAACACCGCAAAGTGGGCAAAAAACTTGTGTAATCCTACCCAGAAAGTAATTGTCAGAGGTTCCTTGTCAAACTGGGAATTGATTATGGTTTGGGATTGTCCTGGCTTTGCTCTGGTTGGTGTTTTCATAAAATATGTGGATGCTGCCTCAGAAAGCTTGCCTAGTAAGTTGTCTGATAAAGCAGGGTTAAGTGAAACCTTTTTTTTTTACAGATAAAATGACTTTTATAGGTGAACTTAAGAAATTGGAGAAATGGTCTGAAAAAGATTGTATTCAATTCTGGAAGAGCTCACTCAGTTTCTATAGTCTCAGGCGGAATAACCAGCAATCAGGTGGAACAATAGTTTCAGTCTACAATGCTTCAGTTTCACTGAGTCCATTTTTAGTTCTGCACTACAAGGAAGATTTGGATCAATTAGGAAGAATTCAAGAAAAGCAATGAGAATGACCACAGGTGGAGGAAAAAATGGCTTATGAGAAAAGGTTAAAAAACTAGGGCAAAAGACAAGGAAATGGGATGTGGTAAGAGTTTTTCAGCCCTGAGTCCACAGTAAACTGGTGAAAAAGTCACAGGTTTGGCCTGCACAAGAAACATCCGGGTCACACTCTAAGAAAATACTTCCAGTGATAATAAGATGACAAAGCCTTTGCACATTATATCTACTGGGAGCCATTAAACTCCATTGTGGATCCTTATATATTGGTTTCTTATTCTTGTAGTTTTGTTAATAAACTTTCTTTAAACCTTTTAAGTTTTAAGCCTGTTTTGCCCATCTCCTAATCCATATCTCACAGCAAGACATGAGTAAGTTTTCTAGTGATTTTTTAGCTAATTCTTTAAAACCACAACATTATTTAGTGCATTGGACGGGAAAGACAGAATAGTGTTTTCTGCCTAGTGTTTGAACTGAAGCTGTGAGATAAGGATTAATTAAGAGAAATAAGGGAAAAGCACGATTAAGTCCTAAGTTTATATAGCAGTAATGGTAAAAATCTAGGGGTGGAGGGTATTGAATTTTTTGTTTCTTCCTTTCTGTCAGTTTAGTTTTATTGT